GATGGATGGATGGATGGATGGATGGAGGAATTCAGGATGGATGGATGGATGGATGGATTCAGGATGGATGGATGGATGGATGGATGGAGGAATTAAGAATGGATGGATTAAGAATGGATGGATGGATAGAGGAATTCAGGATGGATGGATGGATGGATGGATGGATGGATGGATGGAGAAATTCAGGATGGATGGATGGGAATAAAGCAGAAGGTAGGAGGTGGAACAAAGTTTGGGAGTCAGGTGAGACTGAAGGGGAGAAGTTTGGGAGAACTATGGAAACATGGTGAAGAAGATGGGACAGTTCCACCTTTGGTTTGTGATCCTGGAGGTATGAGTCTGACGGTGCACACTCGACTGAACATAATTTCATTCAGAACATTGATGCAAACTTTTATCTTTTAGTTGTTGAGCCTACGCTTTAGATTTTGGAGTGCAGGAGGAGCACTGATCACGTTCACATTAAAACAAGGGAAGAAGTTCGACGTCCAACCTGCAAGAAAACCTGATTAAAGTGGAGCAACATCAGCACAAAGCTTCTGCTGTTGTTTTGTTGTGAGCTGAGCTCCCAAACAGCAGACGTTAACCTGCCTCTGCTTCAGTTCCCTCCTACCTGCACGTGGTTCATTACCTGCATTACCAAAAAGTTTAGAAAATCTAAATCTCGTTCTCACACGTGCAGAGGAGGCCGGTAGCTTTGGTTAAAGGGAAAAGGGCTGATAAGAGCTGCAGGAAGAGTCCAATATCGCACACATGGAGGAGGTCAGCGCTCACAGAGGAAGGAAGTGTGAGACGGATGGACGCATCAGTGGACCACATCAGGAGCCTGTTCGGCTGACAGATAGCAGCCAGGTCCAGAAAGACGGCGGCGGAGGAAAGAAGAGAGTGTGAGGGAGGAGACGGTGGAGGCGGAGGACGCGAGGTGGAGGTTAATGGGAACGGAGGAGCTTTGAGGAGTTTCTGGAGTTTCTGTTGTGAGTGTGCGCTGCGAGCCCAGTAGGACGGCGGCAGATGTGCAGGCTGTCAGTAATTGGTGCTGCAGACCCAGCAGGGCCC